CTTGCTCCTGTATCTGCTGCCTCAATTAAAAGCATTCCCATCCAACCTATTATTCAAGCTAAAAGCTCCCCAAGACTGTGAAGAAAAGGGAAAGGCAAGCCACAGACTGGGGTACAATATCTGCAAAGCATATCCCTGATAAAGAATACATAAAGAATTCTTAGAATTATATAAAAAGACAATTGATTTAAAAATTGGGCAAAGATTTTAACAAAATTCACAAGTTATATGAATGGCTAATAAGTACATGAAAAGATATACCACATCATTAGTCTTTCGGAAAAGGCAAATTAAAAACTTAAATGATCACTATACACCCATAGAACGGCAAATAACAGTGATAATTTCAAGGGTATAAATTTGTCAAAATTTATCAAATCGTACACTTTAAATGTGCAATTTACTGTTTGACAGTTATACCTCGATAAAACTTTAGAGGAAAAAGAATGACAATATCAAGTATTGGCGAGGATATGGAGCAATGGCATCCTATACATTGCTGGTGGGAATGCAAAATAGTACAGCCACTTCGGAAAACAGTTTGGCAATTTCTTCAAAAGCTAAATACATGTGCTGTAAGCCCTAGCAAGTCCACTCCTAGGCATTTACTCAAGAGAAATGAAAATATACGTCTGCACAAAGACTTCCCTCAAATGTTCATAAAAGTTGTATTCGGACGAACCAAAAACTAGAAACAAGCCAAATGTCCATCAACTGGTGAGTGGATGAACAAACTGGGGTATAATCACACAGTGGACTGCTCCTTGGCAATAAGAAATTAACCACAGCTACAAACAATAACATGGATGACTCTCAAAGGCATTATGCCAAGTGGAAGAAGCCAGACACGAAAGATGATACAATGAATGATTTGCTTATACAAAATTCCAGAAAAGACAAAACTAAGAAAAAAAGATCAGTGGTTGTCAGAACTATGACTTCAAGGGAACATGAGCAAATCTGGGGGGAGAGGGCAGCAATGGCAATATCCTATCTCAATTGCACTGGATGGCTGGTTACACAACTGTATATGTTTGTTAAAAGTCGTCAAACTGTATATTTAAAACTGTTGAATTTTATTATATGTAAATAATGCCTCAAAAAAGCTGATTTTTAAAAAGACTGGAAGGCTAAATAAAAAATATTTTAACTAATGATAGTCACATCTATCAATTACTGAGTCCTTAATGTATGTCAGGTAACTGTATCATGCATTTAACACTCATTATTTCATTGAATCTTCTCAATAAGCCATCCGTTGAATCATCCAACATGGAGATACTGAGAATCTATTATGTGTGAGGCACAGTTCTAGGTGCCTCTAGGAATAGAATAGTAAAGAAAACAGACAAAAATCTTTGCACTTACACGGTTTATACACTATTAGAGAGGAACAACCTTTACCTTTGATATGATTTCAGACCACCAAAGCCCCATCCCACACTAACTCCTTCTTGCCACCAATTCATTATTAGTTCACTATAGTTGCATTAAGCACCTCCACAGACACAGGGATACAAAGATGAACTAAGACAAGGAAATAGTTTCAGGGGAGAAAAAGATACAAAGAAATAACAGTAGGGTATGAGAAGTTCACTCATCTCAAATGATCTTGGTTTTTCTTTAACTATTACAGTTCGGTCTGCGCTGGGTTCACAAAAGATAACTCAGCCCTAACTAAAGTCTGTCAAAAAGAATGACTTAGCAACTATCCTAAAATAAAAAATCAGACTTTTGGCAAGTATAATAGTCAACAACCGTACACGACAGGCCAACTCACAGGAATATTTAAGGTTATATTCAGCAATTAACTCATCTGAAGTGTTTACCAGGAAGTTATATCAATTGATAGTGAGAATTTTTATGCCCACAGTATGCAATTGATAATAATAGCTATACAAATTTTCTGGCTACAGCTATTACATTCTTTCTTGATAATCCATCTTTAGGGTCTTAACTGGCCATTGTTTTCTATTTTTAGAGCAAATACTTAGAGGAAAATCTTGGTCTCGCCCACAGGACTTCTGTAGAGACGTGTACTGGCTGTCCACTCAGGTCAAAACCCTGACTCGGTCAGGATTTGACCTTGATCAGACATGCAGAATCCATGCCCTCATGATCCTGGAATGAGAATATAAGCTTAAATTCATTGCTGCCTGGTGGTTACCAAAACTTGGTTATAAAAAATAATGGTTATGGAGAATTACCGAAGGGCTCATTTGCTCAATAATTCGGTCAATGGTTTTCTAAATGCCAGGCACTATTTTAGGTGCTGGGAATAAGCAAGAGTCCCTGTGGCTTATTCATTCCTCTCAATCTCTGAACCAAGTCTAACCATCGGTGGGCTGTATACCTAAACCACACTGCTTTGGCTCTTTGGAGGATGTTCACTGAAATCCCCTGAACCTGGATTGAAAAGCATAAGAAGCAGTCTTAGAAAAAACTCATTACTATATTTACCACTGGGATTTTTTTTTTCCCCATGAAAAGAAACCACAGTGTCCCCACTATGAAGATCAATGCGAGAAATTTCTCAGATCTAACAGTCAAAAAAAGCTGTGCTTCTCTTGAACAACATGTGTTTGATTTTACAGACACCATGAATCTGCAAGGGGAGCTTTATTTTCTTCTTTGCTTTGCTCTAAACTCAGAGCCAAATATGGAACTTGCATTGAGGACTGTGCAGTACTTTCTCGTCTATAGACTTCGTCACTAGTTTAATTTTATTATTCTTTCAATTCTTCTTTGCCCTGTCTTTATTTTTAATCCTTTAGACTGTACACATTTTGAAAAAAAGTGGAAAATAAAAGTTATCTGGTGGTACCTAAAATTTACTGTGCACTTTCTATGTGCCAGGCACTGTACTAAGTACTTTACGATCCTGTAAAGTTTGAACTATTATTTTTTCCATTACACAGATGAGGAAACTGGGGCTCAAAGAGGTATACTAACTGTATATGATCTCATAACTTGTATTTGACAGAGCTAGAATTCAAATTCAGCCCAAACCATTATATCTCAGTGTATGTACAGACTGTCATGGGAACAGACAAGGTAGAACAGAGGAAGGAGGAGAGGTGGGTGGGTAAAGTTGCACAAAGGATGAGACGTTTGAGCTAAGTCTTAAAGGAGGATGCCTGCCAAGGAGCAAGGAGAAAGTATTCCAATGAAAAAGAAAAGATGTGAAAAAAACCCAAAGCGAAGAGAGAACGTTAAGTTCTGGGAATGGCAAAGAGAACAGAGTTAAGGTCAGCAATTAATTCATCGTGAAGGATTCACTAGAAAGTTAAGTCACTTAATACTTGACACTTAATAGATCTATTCTTGAGAATTCCCATGGCTGCAGCACTAAACTGTGGCTAGAAAGATGGGCAGAAGTAAAATAAACACAGTCTCTTTTTTATGATTAGGCTAAAAGTCTGAATTATGTTCAATAAACAATGAGGAACCATAGAAAAATCTTAAGCATGAGAATTACAGGATCAACTTGCACAGCATGGTGAATGAATTATAGATTCTAGGCAGGGAACCTAGTCAGGCTACTATGAGTCTGGCAGTGGGGTAATGAAGTTAAACAAGGGTTGTCAAAAACAAATATAATGGAAGTCATACATGTAATTTTTAATTTTCCAGAAGGTATTTAGAAAAAGTGAAAATAATTTTAGTAATACTTTTATTTAATCCAATTACATCTAAAATATTACTTCGGCATGTAATCAATGTAAAAATTAGTAATGACAAATTTTACATTCATTTTTTGTACTAACCTGAAATCTGGTATTTTATACTTAGAGCATACCTCATTTTGGACATTAAGTTTTCACTGGCAATATTTGATCTGTATTTAGATTTCATAAAATTTACAGATGAAAAAGTACATTCACATACGCAAGTTGTTCCAAACATATGGAAACATTTTCCAATAAGTGAGTCAAGTATCAGTTTTTAAATTTAAATTAATTATAATAATATTAAAAATTCAATTCCTCAGTCACGCTAGCCACATTTCGAGTGCTCAGCAGCCATAAAAGGCTATTATATTGAACAGTACAGAACTAACAAGTGACAAAGGCACCACGGCTTTTGGCATGTCCACAACCGCCATTTCATATCTGCCCACCGTTCAGGTTTTCTGTGTGCTAACATCGATCACTCGCCAAGTATTAATTAACTATGACAGCAGTCCTACTTGTCACATCCTCACTACTATCGCTTACTTTCTCCAGGCCAGTGACTACATGTGTGAAAAAGCAATCTAATGACTACACAGAATTGCTACATACTGCCTGACAAGTTGAATGCATTCAGAAACTGCCTGTGGAATGGATATATGCCCTTCTTTGTTACTCAAGGAACAAGTCACTTGTTTACGAACTACTTAAGCCCTTTTTTTCTATTTTCCTATGGTTCACCTGTTTATTAGACTCTATGTACAATGAAAAAAGAAAAAGCAATGAGAAAACCTATTTTCAATTGTACATTTATTAGAGGCATTGTTGTATAATGGTTAAGAGCTTAGGATCTGGAGTGAGACCGCCTAGATTCAAATCCTGGTTCTATCATTAGCTGTGTGATCTTGAGTAAACACAGGGCCTCTCTGTGCCTCAGTTCCCTCATCTGCAAAATAGTAATAATGGTACATACTTCCTTGGAGTGCTTCGAGGATTACAGAAAATAATACATATAAAGTGCCTCCACATAGATTCTGACACACAGTAGATGTTCAGTAAACATTAGCTTTTAAACAGAGCTGATAAGGAAGAAGTTGAAATTATGGTCAAAGTAAAAAAAACTAGAATTTCTCTATTATCCAGGTCTCTTTCCTATAGACTCTTAGATTCTCCCCCCACCAAAAAGTCTTGCAGATAGTTATATTCATTAAAAAAAGAGCTAAATAAAAAAATTTCATCCACTGACAGGGTATAATTATGCAGTAAGGCATAGGTGTAGCCAAGCAAATGAAAAAACACGAAGCAAAACAGGAAGGCATTTTGCCTTACCTGCTTTTCCGTTTTCGAGGTGGTTTCTCCACTGTGCCAGTCAGTCTGTAGAGCAACAGATAAGATGGTAACTAAAGTAATACTTTTATTTAATCCAATATATCTGAAATATACAAGAACACGTCTCCAGGCCCTACTGTGCCAGTCAAAAACTCAACGTACCACCCTCTAGGACTACAGACTCGCTAAACCCATACCTGACCTTACAAAATGCCTACGTTCTCTTTCTCCTATTTACCCAATCCAGGCAATCCCGGGACTCACTGTTCCCCTAATGTTTGCTCAGCCCAGACCCTGCTCTGCCTCCTGGTCTCTCACTCCATCCTCAGCTCCTATTCGTCACAGCCCAGCTCCCCAAAACCACCCAACACCACCTACTCATTGTCTGTCTCGTCACCCCCGCAAGCCCCTCCGGCTTCCCTTTTCCCGTGCCCACCCCCTCCCGAGCGTGCATTGGTCCTTGGAGCCCCGCCCCTCCGGGCCCCGCGTCCCCCGCCTCCCACGGCCC